CCAGATCAACAGCATGAAGAGCCCAGACGGCAGCAGGAAGCATCCTGCAAGGACCTGCGATGACCTGAAGAGATGCTACCCCCTGAAGAAGAGCGGTGAGTGTTTTGGGAGATTTTACACGGATCCAAAAGGTCTGTTTTCGTGTTTTTCTCACATTGATTTCTTTTAACAAAACAGAACATTGTAGAACATCTTGTTTTCTGACACTTGAATTGGTCTTAACAAAACTGCAGTACTCACAGAATGAGAGATACAGCTCACAGGGTGCGCAACATGAATCCCAGCCTTCCCTCTTTATCTTTGTTCCCCAGTTTATTATCTTCTCATCTCGTCAGCGCTTCTTCCTTTCATGATAAATGTAGAAAGGGAACAATTTCTCTGAACCATGGAATAAAACCACCAGCATGTAACACTTATGTATTTCACTACGGCAGCTGTAGAGTAAATCAACACTGTGACTGAAAGGTTTCTGCTACAATCATCCTGATCATTTTGTTCTGTAGGCGAGTACTGGGTGGATCCAAACCAAGGCAGTGCTGAGGACGCCATCAAAGTGCACTGCAACATGGACACCGGAGAGACCTGCATCTCCGCCAACCCATCCAGCATACCTCGTAAAGTGTGGTGGAGCTCTTCCAGGAACAAACCTGTGTGGTTCGGAGCTGACATCAACAGAGGAACACATGTGAGCGCTTTTACATTTCGATGGTGGGAGAGAGAGAGCGAGAGAGAGACAGTGAGAGAGAGAGAGAGACAGTGAGAGAGAGAGAGAGAGAGAAAGCGAGAGAGGGAAGCAGAGCTGTGAACGGAAAACGCTCAGTGAAGCTGTTAAAGACTTTATAGAGAAAGAGAAAGAGTCTTGTAAAGGATTTGCTGCTGTGATTGAAATAATGAGGCAGCTACAGACTGAGTGGGAAAGGAAAGAAAATAATGAAAAACTCATATATAGACTGTATTGATTGAGTATTGATTGCTGTTTCTGTTTCTCTAGTTTACTTATGGCAACAAAGATCAGTCAACAAACTCCGTCACAGTGCAGATGACCTTCATCCGCCTGCTGTCCAAAGAGGCTTCCCAGACCATCACCTACCACTGCAAGAACTCTGTGGGCTACAAAGATGAGAAGAATGGCAACTTGAAGAAAGCCGTCATCCTCAAAGGCTCCAACGATCTGGAGCTTAAAGCAGAGGGAAACAACCGCTTCAGATACACGGTGGTGGAGGACTCCTGCTCAGTAAGTTCCCACGTCGCAGTCATGATTCTGCTCTTCTTACATATTCATCAGTTATTAATTGAAGCAAAGGTGCTGCGAGGCTGGTCATACTCTGTATCTTTATTATCCTCATCCAAACTCGTGAAATGACCAAATCCAGCAATGAGATAGTCTGTCCTCAGTACCCTTTTTAAAACAGGTCATTAAAATACAATTTCATTTTAGAAAAAAAAAACAATTTTCTAAAATAGCTAGACATTAGTTTTACAGACTTTATTTAAAACCACTGTTATCAATATTTTAATAATAACAGCAGATGAAATGACTGTAATAAACCCACTGACAATTGCAGTTCCCCTCAGCTCAACAGAATATGTTCTAATAATAATAGCAATGATAATAACTTTAGTGTTAGTGTCTAGTGTAGCCAAACTTTCCTGTTGTGATTTAGTCTCCCCGCTCTCACAATGATAGTGTTCACACACATTGCTGAGACAAGTTGAGACATTTGCAGCAGTGAAAGAGATTTTACAGCGGTAGAGAAGTGAGCTGCTATCTCATCCTCCTGCTCTGAGGGGAACTTCACCGCGGTGTTTCGGCACACGGTCAGAGCGTTTTATGTGGCGTAAAACCGTACAGCTGCGGAAAGTAGAGGGATCCAACTCTAGACAGTCAGACAAACTATAAAGTGACTGCCAGTCAGAGCTGTAACGTAAAATCAACTCCTCATGGTTAAGGGTGTCTCCCAGTTGTGAAACGCTGCCATGTTGCAGTTAAGAGTCAGAGGTACCTTTTTAGTTTTTTTTTTCTTACTTTGTTTGCCAAGGTCTTTTGTGTAACAGTTATTCTGATGTTAAGTGAGTCCTTAAGTAAAAGACTTTAGTAAGGACAAATCCTTAAATACATAAGTGAACATTTTATGGAAACCTTGAGAAGAGGAAGACTCAAGGGTATTTTGTGTAACTGTTTGTATTTTAAGGAAACCTTAAATCAGACTTTACAAAAAATCTTAACTGAAGGTGTTTGGTGTAATCGGCCCCGGATGTTTTCCTCTGGAGTTAGTGGAGATCAAAACAGAGCTAAGAGTGAATATTAAATAAACAACTCCAAATATGCACGCTAATGTTGCTCAGAGTGTAAATAGCCAAGTGTAACACTGTTAGACACATCAGCTTGATGTGGTGATAATCTGTCTGTTGGGTTTACAGCTCGTTGTGCTGCCCCCTGTGGCCAAGGAAGTGATTGATTGGCTTTTTAGTCTTGGATAAATAAACAGTTGATGCATGAATGAGTATTTTTGGCAGCGGGGCGGTGTACATGGGATTGAATCAAAATAAATGAAAAGTGTGTGTGTGTGTTCATGGAAACAAAGGAGCATCAGATGTTCACTGATGGGTTTTCAATAATTTATCTGACACAGAGAGAGGAGGATTAATTCACTTCTGGTCCTTTCGTTGAATCTGTTGCCTTTTAAGGACTGAGGTTACTGGGCAAAGAAAACTAATCTGTAAAGTTGTTGCCCAGATGAGATGAATCTGATGCAGTAAAGCAGCATAAAAATTCTTCACCATGTTATTGAGATGTTTTATTCTTCACTGAAGGAAGCTGTAAAACTACTAAGGCACTGACTGAATTTCCGTTTTGTCTCCCTTTCACAGCGAGCAACTGGCAACTGGGGCAAGACAGTGTTTGAGTACAGGACACAGAAAACAGCAAGACTTCCTATTGTGGATATTGCCCCCGTGGACATTGGTGGCCCAGATCAAGAGTTCGGCGTCGATATCGGGCCCGTGTGCTTCTTGTAAGAGCGTTAGCAGGGATGCGTCGAGGACAATCCTGAGACTATTGAACTGACAGCTGACGCGATCAGCCACATTGTACATACGAGTACTGAGAACTATTCTGGCCCTGTGGCAAGATATTTATTGTGCCTTTTGACCCAGTTCAAGACATCGACGATTTGTAAGTTAGATGAATGTTTGGAATTTACATAAAAAAAAATTTGGTATAAAATCAGATCATTCCTCTGTCTTCTTGTGTATGTTTGACTTTAAGCTTCATGCATTTTGAGGCTCACTATGTTTGGTCCAAAGATCTCACCCTTTCATTTTATCCAAGAAAACATCATTACCAAAGATATATTAATATAAAAGCTTCAAAATATTAATTAAAACTGCTGTTTACAGGCTCAGAAAAACCCCACTGAAGCTACGCCCAATGTCCCGCCACTACTAATCTTTACAGATCTTTACTGTCTGTTCTTTTTTTTTTATTTTTTATTTTAAATGTCTGAATATTAAAACAACATTGTGGTGCTATTGAGGAAACAAATACAGCTGATGATGCGTTCACCAGCTCAGGTATTTTCTCAAGACAGTTTTGATGAACCAATGTCTGTATCCAGTTATGTCAAACTCTGTACCGATCATGTAGAACATTAAAGACACATTAAGACTGTCGATTTCCTCAGTGTTAGCTACCTCGTCACCGAAACTGAGAAAAACGACGACACTACATGTAAATCTTTTTTTTTTTTTCACAGGTGCTGTTTTGTAAGTAAGTGTGATCTTTGTGCACTTCTCCCGGCTTCGCGGTACAGGGCAGGGTTTGGGGATGCCAATAAAGATCTTTCTGTCAACGATGGAGAGATGAATGAGGATGTTGTGTGAGTGGTGTGTGGTGATTTGTGACATTTTTCTTTTCCTCACCTTTTAATATCCTACAGTAAAAAGGTAGCACAGAATATTCTATTTTTATGCATGTCAGTTCCCCCTTTTTGCAGTATCCTGGACTTATATGCTCTTGAAATCTTTTTTATAATCAGTTTTAATAGAATAAGGTGGCTGTGAGTGCCTGTTTGCTTTGTATGTCTTGCTATGCAACAAATTAAACAAAATGCTTGTTAATCCCCCCAAGCTCTTGTCATATTGATTCAGGTATAGTTAGGTCCTTTAAGTTTGTTATTTTGCACACACTTATTTTTGTAGTTTAGGGTTAAAACAAATGTACTTGACATAGATACCCAGTTGTTTCTAATGTAAGCTGGTTTGTTTTAATTCCATTGTGACCATTTGGTTCGTATTTTTTTTTTAAGTATTTATTCTAGATTTGTAAAACTTTGCAAAGCTTGAGTGCACTGCTAACACCCCAGAGGCAGAGAGGAGGAGGAGGAGGAGGAGGAGGAGGGAGCCTTCCATACTGGAAGCAGATGCGTTTCATCCTTTGAAAATAAATATTGAAAATATTTCTCTCTGCCTGTTCTTGTTTGAGGAGAGTTCATCTGGTCCTTTAAAAAAACTTAGAATAGAATCGTTTGAGCCTCAGGAGGAGTGAAATCAAGAATCTGTGATGAATGTAGGACAACGTGAAGCCAGACCACAGAATTAATACAGATGTAGGTGAAGCAGGAGAACTGTTACCGAAACTGAACATCCACACTATCAGCTGTGCTGCACAGCGGCGCTTTGAGCTAAATGCTAATGTAAGCATGCTAACATGCTCCCAGTGCTGATGTTTAAGGTTATATTTCCTTGTCCACCACTGCAGTGTAGCGTGTTAGCATGCCGATGGGAATGTCATTAGTTCTGCAGGTATTTGATCGTAGAGCAGGTATTGATCTGCACAAATTTTATCCATGCGATACTTTCTGAGGCATTTCAGTCTGAACCCGCCGGCCGATGTTGTCATGCTGCTGGAGATTGGCTCGCAATAAAAACACAAAAACTTTAAACAACAGCTAAATGAAGTCACCCAAGAAGAATATGAAATGATTAGCATTTTTGTTTTTGCAGTAAGATTTTCTTTAATAAGTGTAACAGCAAAGTCAATGCAACCAAAAGTAAAATAATGGGAATAGTACTGCAGGTATGGACAGAGTCTGTCCAAAAAAAGTGCCTTCTGGTGCAAGAAAAGAGGAGAGTAACATGATGACAAAGTAATAATATGAGATGTAAATACTGAAATGCCGATTCAAACTTGTGAAATGCAAAACAAAAAAACCCAACAACAAACAAGAAGAAACAACAACAAAAAACCTTCAATGTCAAAAAGAAAAGGTGGAAAAGTCAGTAAATAATATCCAACTGGATTAATTAACTACATAACGTGACTTGATGTTGAGTAAAATAAGCTACAGCATGTGATGTTGGGGACGAGCTGAAGGTTTGTGGTTCCATTTATTTTTCTTGCCAGCTTGTGTTCGGCGTACAAACAGGAATGTTTCAACGATACAGAATTCAAATGATGCATACACACAAACGGTCTCATATGAAAATTCTGCCACAGAGTGTACCATTCAACATATCATCGACTATTTACATCTCTCATCCCCTGTGCAAGCAAAGGTCATCAAAACTACTCCTTCCATATTTAGTTTTTTACAAAAATAGTTTTTTTTCTATAATGGATCTGAGTTTTTACCTTGAAAAAACCAATCTAAATGCAAATGCATATAAACCTCAAGATGAAAAGTGTGACATCTTGACTCAGCTGTGGAGTGGATTTTGGCACTTCTTCATACAAACGAGATAAAAGTACGCGACGAGGAGCATCTTCTTGGCATCAGCAGCGGCTGTCTAGCGGGTCCAGGGAGAAGACGGTGCCCTCTAAGGTTAGTCCCATTTTGAACCCCTCCTGGAAGACAAGCCAAGTCAACAGCTGTGACATGGTGTGACTGCACACACTGACATGCTGTCCGTGAGATTACATTACAATGTTGGGACTGAGTGATGCTTAGATTAGAGCCAGTGGGGAAACAAATGTCTATAAACTCTGAGGCTCAGAAAGAATGAAATGAAAGAATGAAATGCTAAACAAAACAGAAATTACCACACTGCTGCTCCGTCATGCTCCGTCATGCTCCGTCATGCGTTGTATACAAGATCATAAACTCAAGCAGAAACAACAAGGCATGCATCCTGATGCAGGAGGCGCCGGTGAAACTCATTTATATCAGTTGAAAAAGTTATATTTTATTTTGGAAAAAGTAAATGCAGCCAAACTGGGCTTGTAATTGTTTGAATGTGCTCTTTTATAATGCTTGATTTGATGCTGCTCACAATTGCAAAAGCATGTTCTTATTACCACAATAGAAAGCAAACTGATACATGATGCACCTCCAACATTTGTATTGGCAAAAAATAAACATTTCAGAGGACAGGAAGTCACATTTGTTGCCCATAAAAGAAACAATAGAAGCTAATCAGCTGCCGGGCCACAGAGCTGAGATGATAAATACTGCTAATTAATGACACAACCACAGATGCACGTCATTTTTTTTTTTTTTTTTAATGCGAGAACATGCAGCAGCTTTCGAAGCATGCGAGACAAAAACACAACCACAGTCACAGAGAGAGAGAGAGAGCAGAGTACAAACCATCTCTGACGCTACAAGTAGAAAGAAGAAGAGATGAAGTCAGCTGTTATTAGTTAAGGATTAGAAGAAGCTGAAGGAAAAGTTTGCAAAAGAAAAAATTAAAAAAAGTGTATCAGAACAACACTGCCTCCTACTGGCATCACACAGATAAAACTCAGCAGCAGAAGTTCAGTTCAGCAGAAGTCGTTATTTTCTAATCAGACTGTAATTCAAACCCTCAGAGAATGTTTGGCTGCTGTTGGTGTGACATAAACTACGACTGGAATAATCATGCGATCACATGACAATTCCTCATACTCACTGTGGAAGACGCTGAAATATGGGGCTACAACAGTGACATCATGTTTTGGCATTGAAAAAAAATTGTATTGGCATTTTTTCAGTGCCAATACACCGTTTTTCCAATGCAAGTGTTTCAATGCCATTGTTTCCTTTTTCAGTTCAGGTCTTGATTTCAATGCCAAATTTTATTGTTAATGCCAAAATGTCACTGTTCAAGCCACATGCTAAAAACACTGCAATCCACCTTCATTGTTCTCAACCATTAACAATCAGGGACATTCACACATGGAAAACATCATACAGGAATTGTGGAATCAACTTATTATGTCGGGTTCATTAAATTCAACGCAAGTCAACTTTAGAGTTTTATTTTTAATTTCCAGACTATTCTAGAACTTTAACTAACCAACATTAGCTCACATTTTTACTACAGTAGAAAAACTTAAGTTAAACCTGCCTAAGATATTTTAAAGATCCAATTTGAATATTATTTGATTGAAATAATATTATCATTAACAGGAACTGACTAATTCCATGACCAGGATGGGAAGTAGCTTTAGGCTTCTATTAGCTGAATACAGACATTTAATAAATGGTCTTAACTCACTATAATGTAGCCATATGCAGATGTAAGGACATATCGAAATGTTTACAGTATTTGTCACAACTGTGTTTTACTACATTGTCATTCATGACGTGTTTATACAGAGGCCTCCACGTACAGGAGTTTTAGTTGTTGACCTGTACATTAGATTTTCAGCTCTAGTTCTGCTTCTCATTTTTTTAATTCTGTCTGGCCTTTCTATACACTTCCTGTTTTATTTTGACTTCACTGACACTCCCTCTTGTTTTCGATTCACTTCCTGCCCTTGTGTGTTTCCCGCCACTGTGATTGCCCTAATGTGCTGCACCTGTGTCTCACTGCCTCCACTCCCTAGTGTATTTAGTCTGCGTCCTACTTTCTTCTTGTAGCAGTTTATCTTCATTCCTTTGTGACAAGCGTTCCAGCCTTATTTCCTGCTGTTTAGTCTTCAGTGCAAGACTTCTGCTTCAGCTCAGACATCACCTCAGCCTTCTCCTGTTGGACCAGTCTGCCTTGTGTGTTTTCCTGTGTACCGACCTTTTTCTATGTTCAGTGACGTTGATTTTTGGAAACCCTCATCTGTGTTGTGACTCGTGCATTTGAGTCTTTGAGTCATAGTCTTAGTCAGTTCTTGACATTAATATACACAAATCTGCTTATAACTCAATCCTAATGTGTTATTAACCATTTATCAAATGTTAAAGCACAAACCTTAAAAGCAATCCGTTTCATTACAATTTCTCGACTGTTTTCAAATAAATCATGATGATAAATCTTGAGCTTTGCTAGTGTGAAAAAACTTGTTTGTTTTCTCTGACCACATGAAGGAGATGATCAAACTTAAGATCCTTTCAGTGTTTCTCCAGGTTCCCTTGCAATGACTCTACACCGGGGGTTGGCAAGTAAGTTTGGCCTCTGGCCAGTTTTTTTTCTAATCCATTAGATGGTGGGCCAGAACATAATTAAAGGCTAATTTAAGAAAATTGATTGATTACAAAATGCTACTGGAATTTGCTTTGTTACTGTTCACATGTGACCGTGCACCACAGTCACAGTTAAGTTTGAATGATTTACTGAGCTGGTGTTTTTTTTTTTTTTATCATAGCACATATGTCATGGGCTATTTCACAGGTTTGTCAAGTGAGCAAAAGAACCTTTTGAACTTCAGTCACAACTTTTCAGAATAAAAGCTCTCGATAGCTTAAAATAAAGCATTGCTGCAAAACAAAAACTTTCTTGCTCTTTTATTTTGTAGGCAGAATTGCTAAAAAAGGAAGTGATCCTGTGGGCAGCTGTTGCTGCCTTGGCAGAGATCTATTTTAATACCTGGTGCTGTGCACTGACTACACTGACTACTAATGCAGGTCTGTTGTGACTTTCTGTGTCTGTCACTCTCAACAAGGATAAAAATGAATTTTATCAAAACAACCTGGTGTGCCAGTTTTGGCCCGTGGGCCGCCAGTTGCCAACCCCTCCTCTACACCTTGTGTCTGAGTGTCTGAGGGCCACTGATCTGCAGCATCAGCACTGATATCTGATGCCTCTGGTGGAACCGATAAAATATGGACGAGCCCTGTGCAAAGTGCCGTTAATGACTTTTTATTCCTGCCTCCAGACAGCTGGGGACTTTTTATTATTTCTGATTAATGAATTTGATGTTGAACTCAGCTGTTCATTTAATGCTCCACCAGACCACAAATACAGCCACATAAAAATGTTCCAGGTCACATCAAGACATTTCCACTGGAGCCTGAGAACATTTGAGCCTCTTCTCACAGTGAAATGCATGAAGGAACATGAAGCCAGGGCTGGGTGGTACAAAGAGGACTATGCGGTTATTTACGAAGGCTTAATTGGTTTCACGTCTCTAATTAATCGAGATGAAGAAGTGAGTTTCATTCACCGAGTCAGCTGAGGACTTCATTAGAATCTGATTGTGTTATTAGGCAGAATCTATTTCAATATTAAAAAACTTTGATAAAAAGCAAACTGCTCGCTTATGGTTCACAAAAGGCCAATTAACACCAAACAGTCATATATGATTCTGCAGCGCTGCCCGCCGCTGTTAGAAAACTGAGGGGAGTTTAGTGTTAAGCTCAGCCCATGATGCACAAAGCTTTTGATCATATGCACAAGAGAAATGTTTCAATCTTCAAAGTGCTGACACTGATAATTAGAGAGACGAGACACAGTCTTCACACTTCAACCAGCCTCCCTGTGGATCTTTACTTGAACAGAATGGTGGAGGAATCAGACGGAGACAGGCGCTCACCTGCATCTCATCCAGCTTTGACTGAATGTCTGGAGGGAAGTCAGCTGCCCCGCAGGTGAACGGATCAAATGGCTCAGCACCAAACAAGTCTTTCCCTACAGACACAGACAGCAGATAAACATCACACAGACTGCAAAGGAAAAATATCTTCAATAGACAGTGATTTTAGATGTTATGCATCACGCTCCAGATAATGTATTCAAACACAAAAACAAGTATATTTAAGTACGTAACTTCTGCCGCTATGGGTCTCACAAAACATTGGTGGTCATGAAATAGACTTGGTTGTTATCTTCTTCACCAGTGCCGTCAGTTTCTCCCAAAGTGAATTATCCACAGAGTTCTCCTCCCCTCCTCTCCAAAACAAACAGACCCGGTGATTCTAACCATCAAAAACACTGAATAAAGCAGTTTCACATTTAAAGTCAGTGTTTCGTTGACGCTGTGCGGAGGACAGAGACGTCAGAGAAGGGTTGGCAGCTGAGATTGCTGCTAATCTTTGTTTTGATTGTTTCTCTGATAATTTATGAACCAGGCGTTCAGGAGGTGTTTACCAGCAGATGAATTATTCACAGAGGTGTCCTCCTCTCCATAACAAACAGAGCAGGGCATTAAAAGCAAAGAATAAAACTTAAAAATCAATGATTCACTGATGCTGTTAGACGGACACAGGGCGTCTCGGAGCTGATCCAGATTATCCGATGACTGAAACCCTTCATCTGGTTAAACAGAGGTGAAAATGACCAAGGTGTAAAAAGCGTATCTTAAAAATGTGGCTTAAAACTGGATAAAGTCAATTTTGAGCTTCTGGCAGACAGCCACAACACTGACACATGTGCACAGAGGATATGACATCATTGACAGGCGACCAAATGACACGCAGCGTTACCATGATTAAAATCACATATCTCTCTAGGTTTTAGAATTGATAGAAACATCTGGGATAATGTTAGAACACAACTAGGTGTAGTCATTTTTAAACAGCTGCAATCCTTTAATTTCAGAAGCTGGAGAACGCATTAAATCTTATGAACAGAAAGTTTTTTTATTTTTTTATTACTCACTTATATCTGGTGGCAGTGTGGTTGGTGGTGGTGGTGGGCAGCCGTTACTGGCCAGTGTGGGCACCAGCGGCGACACAGGGGAGAAGGGAACCATGTCGAAAACGTCCGTGGACTGTGGTTTCATGGAGATGCTGCCTGCCTGTATCGAAAGTCACAGAAATGGAAGTGGATAAGGCAAAGTCGGACCTGTGAAAGCTTGCAGATACACAAACTACACAGCTATTTTTTGCACAAAAGCAAAAGAGGCAGCAGAAAAAGGAGACAAAGGCAGGCGATAACAAGACTTCAGGGACACAGAGCAGAAAGAAAGAAAAAGCATAGGAGGTTTACGCGAGGCCGTGGGATGCTGCATCCCTCGGTAGGCTTAGGAGGAAGGAGAGCAGGTTTGGCAGGCGGAGGAGTTAGTAGCCCGGCGGATAAGTTGGACTCTGGCGAGCTCATGGGAGTGAGTGTCACAGAGGAGATTTCCAGACAGGACAGCGACTTGATGCTGTGACACCAGAAGAGAGAGGAGGGCCTCTGCAGCATGTACGCTTCATTAGCTGCGTTTATGTGCAGCGGCTGAGGGAGAAAAAGATCGCAGACAGAGAATGACCAGAGAGGGACAATATTATTCAGTCTCGTAGAGTAAGGAGAGCTGTGGGTAATTGCATTCGCAGGAGGCTGCCATGAGTACTGGCACTTGCCCCAATGAGACGGTGAATGTATCGCATTCCTCATCAGACCAATCAGGTGTGTAATTGCTTTGCTTCACACACAGCTTAGACCCCCGCTGACTCCCTGCAGATCGGTTTGGTCATTCTGAAGCTGAGTCTGAGGCCGTGCGTTTAATCACAGAGGCAATATCAGCAAACCCAGCTGTCCTTAAAAATACTCTCAAAACTTGCTAGATTCAATTCACTCAACTTTTATAATTAAAGGTGGTTGTGGCTGTGTACTTTTGACTTGTGGGGATGAATTCCAAATGAACTGACATCAGACACTGCAGTTAAAGCCACACCATGAAACGTTTGAAACAGCCTTACTTGGTCTGGTATGACCGGAAGCTCATGGTGTCTAATGTTAGCTAACTTTATTAGCTACTCCACTTGCGTTACAGTTAGTCCACAATTTAGCATTTAATTGTCACTTGTGGCAACAGTGTCACAGCTGCCGTTCAGAAGAAGTTACATAGGCGCTTTAATATTTAGGATCTATATTTTGTTCAGTCTCTAAACAGAAGAGGTGTGTGTGTCCGTGCAGTTTGTCCTCACTGGTGGCACGTGAGCAATCATCAGCTGTTCTTCAAGATCTTGAAGCTGTTTCTTTAGCTCTGAGTTTTCTGTTTCCAGTTCTTGAATCTGCAAATTGACAAGAGCAGTTGAGTAACTGTTAGAAGCCACATTAAAGTCAGTTAAAGCACAAAATGAACCGTAGCAGTGATGTTGAAACAATGAGACTGTAAATCCAATTTAACTAGTAAGTTTTCCAGAAATTCTCATACGATCTTTATATATTGGGCAACATGGATAAACTCTCTTCATGATGTTGTCACTGTCCTGTGAAAACTAACAACACAAAATGTCAGGTTTTCATGTCCTGATACAAACAAATGTTTTTTTCAGCTTTGTGATAATACATTTAGATATTCCAAAGGGTTTTTAAATGTTTTACTAAGGAACTTTAAAAGTCAGAATTTCTTCTCCAGCCATGAAGAAACACTTAATCCTTCATTATTATGAATTTCAAATTAAGCACATCTGGGGATAACATGGCTGTCACTACACAAAATGTAATTTTGTATTGTGAATTCAACATATATTGTGATATTGTAAATGGTATAAATATTCAAACTCTTTACAATGTAGATAAAACAGCTAAGGGGAGTATCGTCTTTTTATAGAATTAAATAAGAAAAAAAAATTATGTTCTTCTTCACTTGGAAAAAAATCCTGAAACAATGAAGACAGAGAAACATTTACACTGTCTCTTGATATATCCTCCATCATCTCACCCACAGCTTTCCATAAAACTTTAAATATCTAATTTGACAAAAAACGATTGCAGCTCCAGAGTCACTTATGAGCTTTCCTCAGGGCTTTCAACTTCACAAAATAGTCTTCATCACATTTGTCAGTACTTATCTTCTGTGTTGGGAGTCCTAATAGTGCTTTGGATGAAACAGCAACAGCTACCGAGGGTTCATGTCAACAGTTTAATCTCCATGACAACTGAGGAAACTTTGTCCGCTGTTGAAGACTGTGTGATACAGCTGAAAGCTCTGGAGAAGCTAGTAAGTGAACCTTGAGTTGGGATTGTTCTGTACATTTCCCCTTTGATTATGTAAAGTTTGGATAAATGTTCAGTTAATGTTGAGTTCACATTGTTGATGTTGAGCTTTTGGCAAATAGCTAAACACAAAAATGTTATTAATGTCTTAATAAATCACCATTTAAACAAAACCAGTGGGTTGGCTCCACTTTTTCCGCCGGGTGCAGAGTAATTCAATTACAGAGCGAGTCTGTAACTACAGAGCGTTATCATTAACATTCATTACCGACATCTCTCATCAACACAGCTTAATCGTCCACATTGGATGATTTAAAACAATCAATAGAAACAAGCCTGGCATTAATTAATAAAAATATCAACGTGTCAGCGTGGCGGTGGAAGTTTTCAAAGTCAATGAAAGTGTGCGTGAGAGCAGACGAGCTCAACTAATGTGAGACACACCCGTTTCTGAAGGCTTCCAATCTGTTTCCTGGTTTCCACGTCTTTGCCTCCGGACTCAAGGAACTTCTTGTAGGCCAAGTCAAAGGCCTGACCGATGGTTAGAGTTATCTCCTCCGCCTGCAGCGTGACAGAAACAGAGATATTTACCTACATGGCAACGCAGCTTATTTACACCTGAACTGATACATGACACACGCTAACTACAAACTGTCAAAACACTGCATCGGGTTAGAGAGAGAGTGATGGAAACACAGGATCAAAATATGACACATATGCAATAAACATCTGTCAAGTGTGTTTCAATGAAGAGACAGGGAAACACTTACACACTTTTCACTGTCAAACACATAGCAAAGGTGTTTGTTGGACTCAGAGTCTTTGCAGATGAAAGTAAATATCCTTTTATCAGTTTTGTCATCGGCACAGAAAGATATCCTGTGTAACTGACAGTTGTGCTGCACATCCTGTAAAACATAAGATACATGTTTGTCATTTACTTTATTTAGCATCAGTGCGCCGGCATCAAACAATAAAACTCAATATGTGGACTCACTTTTGTCTTGGGATCTAGTATTTTCACACCATAAATGGAGATCTGCAATTCCACTTTGGGAATCTTCTGTCCCTCTGACTTCTTGATGTGCCTCTGAAACTGCAGATTAGAGAAGTCACAAACAGACAGAATTGATTAGTTCATCCTGTCAATGCCAAGGTATTTACAAGGAACACAAAGTACTTTTTTTCACAGGAAACAGCTGGAAATAATGTCTAATGAGAGCAGTGAGACTGAACCGCAGCAGTGAAGATGTGGACCATGAAAGCAAACCGACACATTCTTGAGAGTGGGAAAAAAAAAAAAAAACTTTGCCAGCATGTTATCGTTAAACATCAATTAAAATTTGTTTAGTAAAATTTAATCATTAAGGTGAAGTGTTAAATACGAATAAATATGCAAGAAATCCATCCTCGATCAAGCCTTGCCAAAAAACAGTTTAAATCTTTCACAGTTTTGTTGCCAAGTGGCATAAACACCGACACGACCTGGCAGCGAGTTCAGGTCAATAACCAGTGAAAATGTGTGTGCTGTCAGCTGAGACACTGTATCACTGCATGTAATGAAACTTACAGGAAGCTGATAATACCCTGTAATTATTTCCAAATTTAATATAAATCTTTAATAAAGTAGTCTCCACTGTAGCATTAAAAATCAAAGAAGACTGGTCTTATTGCTGTCCTCAGATTCCTCAGCTCATGATTTCCTGAAGCTGCAGTGGGAGCGTGACCTAACATTACATTATAACATTTAGTTATTGTGCAGATTGGATTTGTTATGGGAACTTCAAAATGTTCATCAGTTTCTATACATGAACCAAACTTCAAATTCTTTTACAGGAATTACTGCACACCCGTTTGCCTCCAGAAAACGCTCCGCAACACGCTCCCCTATGTCTGAGAGCCTCGTTTGTATGCGTTACTCTTTATCTGTTGATGGGTTGAGGTGGTATTTTTCAGTTTTGAAGGTATGTTTGTGCTTGTATGTGTATATGTGCAGGTATACACACACACACACACACACACACACACACACACACACACACACACACATATATATATATATATATATATATATATATGTATAATATATATAAATATATAAATAATATATAAAAAGATTTTCTTCTTTCTTTGATGGTTGTGCTTGTGTTTATGAGGTTTAAAAATTAATTAGAAAAAAACAAGATTAAACCTGCAGCACAAACCTTTGTCTGATTTTTCTTCACAGCTTGTGTGGACAGAGAGTGTGTGTTTCTGTGTGTGTGTGTGTGTGTGTGTGTGCGTGTGTGTGTGCGTGTGTGTGTGTGCGTGTGTGTGTGTGTGTGTGTGTGTGTGAGCTGCTGCAGTATTTGTACAGTCTGTACTATTACACTTTGTGATACAATGAAATGATATAATCAGCTGTAATGAGGCCCCTGTAAGGCTTTGAGTTAAGCTCATATGATTGGAGACAGTTACTCTTCAGGACCTGCAGATACAAACATGAACAGCCCCACAGAGAAAACAGGCTTTAGATGGAGATTGAGGACACACAGGCATCTATAACTTATATGTGATACAGTATCTGAACCTAAACCATGGACACATGTATGTTTTTTTTCCCCTCCACATGATCTGTTGGAAATATAATTCAGCCTGTCCTTACTGTCAGTGTATCTGGCAGAAGTAACCGTGGAGCCTTGGTCTCCAAACAGGATTTCAAGATTAAATGTATTGTAACAATAGAGGTATGGGTTTGGGAAAACAAGCCTCCCCTGCAAGTGGCCTCACAGATTCAACTCTTGGCAGGAGAAGACAGAGGGGAGGCCAGCAGGCAGCGAGCACAGCCACGTTACCAAGAAGCTGTTCCCATGCTCACAGGCTCACGCTGGCTGGTTTAGTTTCACTTTAACTGAGGTTACCTGTTATTACTGAGGAAGTTTAAACGAATTGTCCTGAGTAATGAGAAAACCAAAACAACAAATACAGCCGTTTGTCAGTGAAGTCCAACATGACCCACCCAGCATGTTCCTGGGCGTTGTGTGTGGCAACTATTTAGCAGAGGTGGACGAAGCACACAGCTCCATTACTCGAGTCAAAGTATAGATAGTCCTGGTCAAATATGACTCCAATACAAGTGAAAGTTGTTCAAGTACTGGAGATCTTGCTTTTAAAAAAACATTAGTATTCAAAAGTTTTTTTTTATGTCAACACATTGTTGTATCGTTCTGTATTGCTTTCTCAAGTTGGATGGCAAATTTTTTTAGGCAGTGATGAAGTCTGGTCGTGGTAAACACAGCAAACATTTAAAATGAAAGGAATCTTTCTTTAGTTGTAAACCTTCACACAGACCTCAGGTCAGACCGTGGTCTCTGGTGAAGAATGTTCTGCCTCATCTTTATCTGACGTCGCCATCGTTAGGACACTGACAGGTTCAAACATGACTGACAGCGGAGGAGTTGGCTGTGATTGGGTTTTCTTCTGTGATTAACACAGTGTATGGTCTATAGCATTTTCAATATAAAATAAAATTCATTCAGTGGAGTAAAAGTAATAAGTTTAAAAAAAAAATAGTCAAGTAAAGTACAGATACTCTAAAGATATATTTAAGTACAGTACTCAACTAAATGTACTTTATACTGTCCATCCCTGATACTTAGTCAAGGAAATCTCTGTCCAAACCAAAGAAAACCAATATCGACTATCGGTGATATAGAGAGACATGAACCCTGGTCTTTTTGTATGCCCACGCTCAGTCAGTTTGCGCTCATAATGACAAACCAACAGAGAATTATCATCAGTTCTACATCTCTGTTTTTGGTGCCTTTCAGCTTCTTGTTTTGGTTTTACAGCCTGAAACTTTATTCTTTGGATTCAGTCTCATCAGTGTCATCTCCAGACACAACAGGCGGCTGTTTCAGGCAAGCCAGCTCTGAAATAACCTGATTATAAATGGCAGATGATATAGTTAGCAACACATTCCACTTTACATTTAGCCATTTAAACCTCCATTTAAATGGTATATGATTAGCGCAGCTTTCATAAATACATTAATTAATATATATTTCTATAGCATACTTGGCTGGTATTAACAGTAACAGTTTAACACAGCATTAAGAGATTATATTGTGTTGTGCATTTTTTTTTCATTAATATGCAAATGTAGGCTGCAAGCATCTAATTACATCAGCTAATTCATACGAGGAGGTGTCAAGTGTTTTTATCACGTGTCACTGAGTTCTGACATTGTATGTTAAAGTACCTGAGCTTAAGAGATTTATTAAGTAAAAACACTGTGTTAGTATATGAATAAAAAAAAAAAATGTTACAGTTAAAGGATTTAAGCTCAGGGTCTTAAACAACAGGTTTCACGGCAGGTAAATATCTGTGTTATTGGATTTCACATCTACCTGAGGTTGACTGAGCAAAGTGTTGTGCTTATCAAGCAGTTTAAGGCATCCACACTCGCGGGCTGAAAAGCTCCAAGGGCACCTTTCTGGTGAGCAATAAGGGAGGGAAGCATTTGTCACTCACTTCCACCTCCTCTGCTCTGAGTCTCCCATCAAATCCACTCCCCTCAGACACACTGCTCTATCCTTTAGGCTACAGTTTAGTGTGAGGAGCAGCTTTACCTTCAGCTTCCTGACTGCATCCTTTACAACTTCTGTGCCTTTTGGGGCTTCAACCTCTGTGTTTCCAAGGAACTAGGGAGAGAAGAAAAATGTGGTACATTTATGATATGACAGTAACATAACACAGGAATGCAATATAGTGTATATGTGAGTGTGCTGTGCATTCAAAAGGTAGCAATGGGAAGAAGGAAAGGAAAACCAAGGAAGGCAAAGGAGTAATAAACTGTGGAATAGTCCTTTGGTCGTAAACAGCAGAGCAGATTGAGCTCTCTCTTTACGCAATCAGACCAATCACAGGAGACATTTGACTCTGTATCATCTGCTAATTTCTTATTTTTAGTTCAAATGAATGTAAACAACATTTGTATCACATTAGTCACGCTCACATCCTGCAGGGACATGAAATTGCCATTTTATATAATTTCATCTACTAAGGGACCAATGCATATGTCTTCTCCATGTGAGGAATGCATGTCAGTAACACACACACACACACACACACACACACACACACACACACACACACACATTAGACAGACACAGACACACTGGCGCAGCACTTCTGCTGTTCTCCAACAGATGGAGCCATTAACCTTTGCGCCTGAACATGGTGTTTTCCATCTGGCGGGATCGGCAGTAATTGTTCCAGTCACACATACTGCTTCAGCGCCTCCTGAGCCTAATGTGTGGAGCCTGTTCCAATATCAGACTTCATAAACACACCGGTGTCAACCCCTTCAAGGTTTGAGTGGGGGGGAGAAACAAAATAACAATGTGTCCCACTGGAACAGAGCAAACAGTGCAGACAGACATGGATTCTCTCTGCGACATGATAAAACCTGCGTGAAGCTTTCCATGACTTGGCTTCGCTAATGTCCATTTAACTTTGGAGTTTGTCTTGGAGACTATTGTCCTCCTGCTGCAAGTGGAACGATGCTAAAGTCTCTAAGTGATTTGTTTAGTTTTGTCTTGCAGGAAGCCTTTTATCTTCTGTTACCCTTAGTAACTATAACATTTAGGGCTTTTAATGAATTGAGCAATTAGTTACTATTATTCATTGTGACAGCAATAAAAATACTTTGCTGATGCCTGAGAACAATATATATAAAAAAAACAACAACAAACGATTAAGGCAGCGTTCAAATTATGCAAATACCAGTTATCAACAGAGCCAGAAAAACAGATCAGGGCTTTATACAAACGTGTCAGGTGCTTGTACCTGTGTGACAAATGTACTCTACGCACTTAAGGACATGTCTGCAAGCGCCGCTGACAGATGCCCAGAATAGAACGGAGAAGCAGTCGTTCCTGACCAGTGCATTCCTGGCTACGACTGGGGAGGTTTCACAAGGCAGACCGAGCTCAGAGGCTCATCCATCAACTAGTGCATGCAGCTGAAAAACGAAGCGACCTTGCCCCTCATTCCCCAGCAGTGAGGATTCACACTTCGGCTGTGTACTCTCAATGCCACAAAAGAACAAAAAAAAAAAAAAAAAAACAACAAAAAAAAAAACTATATACTAAATAATACCATTACTAACTAGATATCATATCATATCCAAAGAAGAAAAACACAGATTTCAACCTTGTGGCAGGTCTGAAAAGTTCATTGAAATGAAAAATGAAAAGCAAGTTTCACCTCATTGTCTATGCACAGCTTCCCTCCTCCTGATCCAAAGGTTCTCTGATTTTTTTTGACAAACTTTTAAAGAGGGCCGGATCTGTGTCAGCTGCGATTGGAAGTGAATTGTGGATGGGATGTGATTGTTGATGTCAGGTCTCAGCAGCTCAGATATTAACCTCTTTCTTTCTTCCTGTGGTCCAGAGGTCGCTAACACTTGTTGATTACAGGGGTCGGCAGAAACTCACCGGCGCTGTGCCCAAAAAGCACCGACAGCAGCTGTGCCTGTCTGACAGTCAACTGCACAGAGCCGTCTCAGAACAAAGGGCTGGCAGAGCATTGAAACAGATGCGATATAGATGTGCATGACAGCCTCTACTGTCACCACAAGACAACATAAAGCCAATTAAAGTCAAAACAAAAAGAGTGTTGCGACTTGCTGATGAAAGGATAACAGCTCAGAACAAACATGAAACTGCACATCTGTCTTGTTTTGGGAATGCAGAGGCGGGGGTGTTGGTGGGTTTTTTTTGATACATATGTGGCCCCTTAGTGTCCATCAGGGACAAAATGGCTGATGCTTGAAAAATGACTTAAAACTATCAATAAAAAATCAACACCGAGTACTTTTCTGTCAAAAATCGACTTCTAGTATCCATGCAGCATCGGAGAAACACAGCTGTACCCCTGGAGGGTTGTATTACAGAAACCTCCTGACTGGCAGATCCTTCCTTAACTGTTTGGTAACCATGGTAACTAGAGTTAGGACCTAATTTAGAAAATAAAGCCATTACAGATGAATAGTTCAATGTTCCTGTCCTAACTTCAGATAGGAAAAATTGTACTTCAGCTAAAGCTTTTTAACTTCCCCAAACCTTAAATAAACTTTCCTAACCTTCACTTTTCTGCCACTTAGCTAACGTGTCGAGTTCATATGGCTGGAACGGATTCATTGAGAGGCTCATGGCAGACGCTAATGATGTGTTAGATGACAAAACGCTCATTACTAGATACAGACCTTTTTTAGCCCGCTCTCTCTGTTTTACCTCCTGAGTTCGCTTTGCTGTAAATTTCTTTGGAGTTTTCCATTTTTCTGTACGTTTCGATGACAAAAGGGTTACAAAAATACCTCAGCGAGATGAGATGACAAAATAGCATCGGTTGCTAGGTAACAGACATAAAAGTTAATAACTGATGTATTGAGTATTCAGGATTTCCTAACCTGAGATAAGATAGGATGAACTGAGATAAGATATGATTCCAGTTAGAATTTGCTTCTGTAATATCTGCAATAATACCAAACTGGGGAAAATCCTCTTTTATACTCTTATACTCATCTTAATGTAAGACTGCGACTCCTGGACATCTATTCTTTGTGTAAGAGATCATTTCAAGGAGGGTTTAAGCTGGGTTTTAAAATCCTGAGGTAATGTTGACGTTCCCCAATCCCCCGACCCTCCAAAAGCTCTTGATAAAAAGATTTTTCAATATTTCATTTATTCAGTTACAAGTTCAATGACATTTTCTACAAGTTTGAATAAAAATAAAGAAGGAAATGCCACTTAAAATCAATATCTTCAATTAACTCAAATTACTTTGTCTCTATTCTCTTTATTATTAGTTGGTTCTTTCCAGGAAACTTCTATAAAGAATAAGGTATTATGAGCTGAAAAAATATATTTGATTTGCTGTCAGAAAATATAATTAGCAATTCTTTCACTCTCTGATTAATCAGTTCATTCGTTTCTTAAAGGTGTAATGTGTAAGATCTGGCCAGAATTTTAGCTTAAAATGTTCAAAAAATGAATTAACAGTTACACAATTATCAAAAGTGTGTGAAGGAGCCACAGTGATGATGTCATGACCAAGACCTCCATCTATTGTATTTCAGAGATATCTACTGAAATGAGGATGCTAACCAACTAGCTGCGTCCCGGACCGTGTTGTAATACCACCTAGACACACTAGATGCTGTGTGAGTCTGCAACTTTTCTGTTAGAATGATGAGTAACAATCTAACGTTGGTCCATAGCAAAAAGTATCTTAGTGCAAATGACAAACCGTAGTGACAAACACCTCAAGTGGCATAAATGTATGATGTTGATGGTTTAGCGATTTAGCAGAATTTAGCCTGTTCCTGCGGCTGTTGTCCAGCTAGATGGATACATTTTTTTTACAAGTAAGACAAAGAGACTATTTGATCCAGAGCCAGTGGGTTCAGGATCCACTGCCTAATACTGTATTTATTTTATCATAATCATATCTATCCTTACTATTTATTATACACACGCACAACAGACCTAACATGTTTGAATATAAAGAACTTGTATGATCTAAACTAATTGTCCTTATTTTCTGATTCTGCCTTTGTGATGATGTCATCATCCCTTCCTCATGCTGCTGTAGCCTGACACCCGTGTGTCATGCAGTATCCCCTTGCCTTCATATTTTCATAGGTAAATAAAAACATACTGTTTGTACTACAAGTATTCATAATTCATTTCAGTGCTATCAACAATTTTAACTATCAACAATAAATGCACATTTAGATAATAAATTATAAGGACCATGGGGAAAACAACACGATTCAATGGACAGGGGTGAAAGGTGAAACTCTGCCCCCTATGGAGGTGGAGCAAGTAGCGTGATCTTACACATTATACCTTTAAGCCCAAAGCCTTTCATGCATTGCTGGTTTACAGCTTCTTCAGTGTGAGGATTTGCTGTTCAGCTGTGCAGCTTTAGATTTATAAATGGTAGATTTAATATTTTTGTGTTTTCAGACAAAACAAGCAATTTAAAGACGTCGTCTCAGCCTTTAGAAAATCTTAATCACTCATCATTCATTCATTCATTTCTTGAAATTCCACAGCCCAAACAATTAATCAAGACAGTTATCAGTACAGTATTCAATAATGAAAGTAATCATAAATTGCAGTCCTAAAACCATTAACATTCAATTTCCAGCACTGAGGTCTAAACACTTTTAATAGGAATGAAATTATGGTTGAAAAAGTACTGAATCCTTTACTTCTTTCTTTCTTTTGTTGGTTTAGAAGTAGTTTAAGTTGAACATATTATGTATAAAAATACGGAAATGAACTTACAAATATTGACCACATGTCAGCTTTAACTGTGGACTGTAGACTTATTGCCAGAAAAATACAGAAAATATTTCACACTCATAGTTCTTCTTCAGTTTAGCTGCAGAAACATTTGAGTTCATAAGAGCTAAATAATGCAGGTCCTTGTGGTGGTTCCATCAACTTGACATCAAGCCACATAAGGAATTTATGACCTTGTTGAATCAATAGAGGAAAAAATTGAAAACTTCTTCTTGAGGCCAAGAGACAGCCCCATAATCACTTGCTAACCGAGCTTTTTAAACAGTTTTAAGGGCTTTAAACCTGGAGAGGAGGCTGAGCACTTTCTCAGCACTTTGGCTGCTTCACTCCCTCTAGTTCCCGGAGAGATGAGTGGTGAACTCAGATCTCAGCAAGTTCAGCCAGACAGAAAGCTGACAATGTGCACACACTATGGAAACTGACAAAATGTTTTGATTTTAGAGATGTGTCTTTTGCCAGTCACCCACCCACCCCCCCACCCCCCAACCCTCCAAAGTAAGGGCGTTTCAGCAGTTTGGGTGGATGTGGTAGTTTTGCGGTAGTTCCACTTCAGGTCTGTCGTAACATTTGTGTAGCATGGGATGTGAGCTGACAAGAGTCTGTGCCTCATGGGAGAGAAACTCTTTGTTCAAATGAAGCAGAAAACCAGTGTGATGGGGGAAACGCTCCCAAGTCAAACAGTCCTTCAAGATGTGTTCATTGTTGCTTTTTTTGAAAGTGTTTTGTAACAGTCATAAAGATCCAGTGTGACATTTCATTTCTAAGTTATTCTTGTGTCAGAATCTGGAGTTTTGCCTGGATTTGACTGAAGCATGAGTCACTTCACAAATTCCCCTGTCCGGGTCGCCCCCACCCCCCACCCCCCAACCCCCCACCCCCTGACACACTCATTAAAAAATAAACAAACAACAAGACGGCTGAAACACAGAGAGACTCTTTCAAATTAAAGTTTGACAAGGAAGATTTTCCCTCGTCAGCACGCGGGGAGAACAGCTGCTCTGGAAGATAAATAAGGGGAAATCAACTTTCTGACAGTTCAGACTGAAGGTGTGCTGGGAAGAAAATAAAATCTACCACCATTAAAAATCCGCATTAGCGCTGCCGAGTGTGTCAATTTGAAACGGGCTGTGCTGGTCATCATGCTCTCATTTGGAAAACTTTACGCAGCTTCAGCCTGTGATAACAAATCCACAGGCTGCCAAGCTCATTTGCTGGACATTGCCCCACACACCGTGAGCCGCTGTCCTCCATGAAAGGCCCCGTTGTCTCTGGAAAAATGCATCATGGAACACCTGGGCTAAAAGGTGTCGGTTTGACAGGCCTGGATTCAGTTTTGCTCCTGGATTTTATTTACTCTTATGTTTCCTTTCACTATAAAAGCCTCTAACCATTGTCTAACATCAGAATGCCCTCCAGACCTTTAGTGTTTAATGACAATACGGTTACAACGCTCACTACAATGAAACAGTGACACGTACCTTGGCATTGTAGGGTATGTAATGCTTGGCCAGTGCTTCCGGGGTGTGCATCCATGATTTATCTGAAACGACACAGCAGAGGTACAATCTGTGAGGAAGAACTTCATGCAACAAAGCACAACCGCAAAGCTTTAACATCAGAGAAAAAGGAGGAGGAGGAGAAGGAGTGCGGAATCAGGGAAGTTTCTCTGTTTTCTCTGGTAACTGTTTCTCTTCTGTCCTCCAGTCCACTATCGCAGATTTTCTCTGTCACTCAGCAGCTAGTTGAATTCAATGGTAAACCGATGGTGGCAATAAGGCAAAGCCAAATCCTGATACTTCGTTCCCATCCTGATTCTTCCTGTGACCTACCAGCCACAATCATTCTAAAGGTGAGCTCAGACTCAATGCACAGCACATTTTAGACACAGTGCACTGAATTCAGAGTAAATGGAAAGACCTGGGTGCGAACAGATGTGAAAGGACAAATTAAAGTGAAGATGTATCCTTTCTAAGTCGAGAACATTTCAGCCTTAGAGATGTGAGTTTGTAACTGAGGCTCTCAGGACGTTTAAAGACAAGATGAAAACGGAGACGGACTTTGGGTTTGGGGAATCGACAGAACTGGAGTTCCTAACAAATTTTGACATCAGTGAGAGTTTGAATTGTCGCACAGAGAGACAAACTCTGCGCACACATAGTCAGAGCAAACATTTATAGCTAATTACGTCTAAGATCTGTAAATTGGCTGTTTGTTGATGATAGCACACACTGCACAGAGACTCGTTTTCACATTTAAGCAGAAAAAACTTTGAAAAATACTTTGCATTCTCCTGAAGGAAACTCAAACCTCCGTGAAATATCGACTTTATTTATTGTCGTTTATTGAGTAGGACAGCTGTCTATTGTGCTCCAATAAAAAAAAGTATTCCACCATTTCTTGAAGCACAAATTTCTCAGAGTGTAAAATGTTAAGTTGATCCAACAAACAGCTGCTGGCCATTTTTGAATTAATAATATTCAGTGACAGTGAGTGTAAGTCAGTAAGTGTTGCTTTGGAGGCTTTTTAAGCAACGTTACGCTGGTGTGTTATGTTTTTAAAGTGCCACTGACATCAAGCTAAATGGAAATTTACTCGATTCATTTTAATATAGACCTATCAGATCAAGAGTCAGTGGCAGATACTCTGGGTAAAAAAACAAACAAACAAAATGTGGACATTCCTGGTATAAAACAGATAAAAATATTATAAGGGGACCTAAAAAGACATTTGCTTCTCCATAACTGGCATAACTGGGTTAACCTGACAGTTAACTGAACAAAAACTAAAAATGCAGTGACTATTTCTTACTATTCAAATCACGTCTCAGAATCACACTTTGGAAAACCAAAAAAAAAAAAAGAAAAAGAAAAAAAGATCTGCCATCAAATGAGTAGCAATAATCGCGGTTCAAACATTTGTGTTTTAGCACTAGTCTGATTTCAACACATTATCCCTCAGCATATACAGTTAATGACTTACTTAAAAACTGCCCTGCAGACAGTCTCTGAAGATTACTCCACCCCAAAATGAGCAGCGGTTCAGAGATCATTACAGGTCACTGCTGGCACGATCCAAAGCATCCCATAGTGCCGTTTTCAGCATTTCTTAATCATCTATTGATTAAAGATCCTTTTCTTTCTTCATTTCCCGTTCATACACGGCTTATCGCCCTGTTAAATAAATCTTGTGACAAAAGATGCACGACTGTGACCTTGGGCTACTCGATTCCTGTAGGTGGATTGTGTTAATCAAGACCTCGCCAATGACGTGAATCAACCTCACCGCGTCCTCTGCATAAGTCTGTAATGACTTTGTTTACATTGATGTTGTTGGCTAAGTGGCTTGATGAATTCTAAATCTATTCTAATTAGTGTTAATTTGGTGCCCCACATTTTCTTAATTGTGATTGCTTGTGTTTGCTGATCCACCATTTTATTTCCAAGGAAACCAAAGGAAGTGCTTTTTTTACTTTTCTGGGAATCATTTTCGATGGCGAGACTGCAGGTAAACAACCACTGACGCACGGAGACGGCGCTCTCTGCGAGTTTGTTTCACCTCGCAGACACTGCACGTTGAACTCGGAGCCTCTCCTCTTCTTAAAGTGTCCTCCTTTTAAGTTTTCTTCACAGCTGTGCAACCAGATTATCCCTGCATGCGCCCCCCGCGACAGCCTCATCCAAAGTGCAATCAATTTCCTAGTGGGACTCTTGAATGAAAGTTGATAGAGGGATGATGTATCTCATCCTTTCATGTCGAGCTAAGGGGGCTAAGAAACTGTAAATTCCAAGACAGAGTAAGGAGTAGAGTGGCGAGGGCTGACACAGCGGCGTGGCAGATAGGCAGACATTTTTTCAAGGCGTCAGCACACGCTGCTCTGATTAAAGGAAGGGAAGGTGTGTGTGTGTGTGTGTGTGTGTGTTACGGGGGGGGGTGCTTATTTTCTAGGTCTTTGCTGCATAAAATGGCAAACCAGACGAGGTTGCCAATAGTAGCAAAAGTTAGAAGTGCTGTCCGGGTTGCCAAGAAGGAAGATTAACTGTTAGGGTGCAAGGATGACTCAGAGTCTGAAGGTCACTGTGTGTGGTTGAGTTGTCAAGTGTTGGATGGAGATGAAGGGAAGATTCAAAGGGTGACAGCCTGAGAAAGTGTCGATGCTTCACTGTCTCACTGTAGTCGCCTTTCTCTAGAGACAGGGACGGCGTCGCTGCTCTCTTCTTCTTGCCTTCCTGCAGAGCCAGTTAGGATGTGTGAAAGCATAAAGGTCACAAATCCCTCATGCATGTTACACCCTAGCAACTACTGTTATTAGCAACAGCTGCCTTCGTGTTTCTGCTGTCACAGATTTCAGATCACAGATTTTGAAAATTATTTATTTTACAGTTTTACAACCCCTCTTGAGATGTGGTTATTACTGTACATATGTTGTTTAAATATCCATATTTTCCTCTTGTGTTTTATTTGAAGTGTTGATCCATAAGAAGATATATTTGTTGTTTTAAGAATCAAAAACCATCTCAATGTAGTTTTACATCTCCTCTCTTCTGATTGGCTGACTGTTTTCTGACAGATCTAATAAAAATATAGCAGATTTCAGGTAAACACTGACAGAAACCAAATCCAGCAAGGTTGAATGGTGGGTCTGGGTGGGCGTGGCTTGGGGCTTGGCTGAGAGCGGTGACTGTTTTGCTGTGACATCACAAAGTTACAGAAGTGCTTACAGCTGGTTTTAAGGCTCAGTTTCTGAATACAGGCTGTGTGCATTCATCTGCCTTCATACTATAGAGACCTTTAGTATACTGTATATATAAATTACTGTAAGCTTGTGCAACACTGAGAATCCTTTATCCATCCTGATGTGAGAGTTTTAAACTTTTCTTTAGTTAACTTCAAATGATTCAAGTTAGAAGATAAATAAAGGGTATTTAATATTTCCACTACAGTTTTGTTCTCCAGCAACGGCTGTTTAATCTTGCATTTGCCTTGTTTAAATCCTTCCTGATCTGCTGGCAAGTCTGAAGACAAGTGTCTGAACCCCTGCTCACAGATACCAGCTCTAATTAACCAGAGTAGACAGATATAAATGGTTAATCGTTTGGGCGTGGGGGTGGGGGGTGGGGGGGTCAAAGGAAACAGTGGGTGCCTTTAGCTAAAAATAAAAGCTCAATCCTAAGCAATACTAATGAAACAAACCTTTTGGGTAGTGATGACTTGTATCCGCCTCAACTACAGATTACACAAATGATGTAACACATGGTACTTCATTCACATGCATAGATGAGCCGTCCATACAAACAGCACTTTTCACTAAGTTTTGAATTGATTCAAGCACTGGCCATACGGCCCTCATGTGGATTATTTAATTTGCAAGAAAATCAGCAAAAACCTGCTTTATAGACCGAATGCACATATGTATTGTCACACACTGGAGGAAATAGTCCTTGCACGAAGAAGTCCTGCACACTGTGGCCATGTGGATTTATTGATGGTTGGATCTATTAGATCTTAATCACAATCTCCCCTTATCTACAAGCTAATAGCTGTATTTCACTTTATCTCACATTCTGCTGTGAATCCAGGCACTGTTCTGGGATATCCAGTCTTTGATGAGATATGCATTCAAAGACATCAAGTACTTCCAGTTTTCTTAACTCCTCCACTTAAACAAAATATTATTCATAATCACATCCTCATTCACTTAAATTATATCTCACTTAGAAAAGCAAATACAAGAAAATATGTACTATATATGTTTTACTATAAATTGGCAAGAACAAGAAGCTCTCACAGCCCAGATATACTGCAGGACAGCAGTTTGCTGTCTGTCTCCTCCAAATAGCCACCAAATTAACCAGATGAAAACTCCACTTCTCTGTCTACTGTCTTGTCTCTGTTCCTTTTATGTGTTTGCTTTCTTTGTGGCACTTTCATCTCACTAAGACAGGTGGAATACAGATAAAACGTACTATTATTGTAATAATGACACAACTGTTACTACTTCTGATGAAAACAACAATAACAATAGCCCTGCTGTGTGTAAAGCATTATCTTTAGTGATGCTTTATTATCGTGCGATCATTAGCATATTGTTGAGTGTTGTGGTCGCTCCTCTTTAACATTCTCTGAGTGTAGCCCGGAGCCTGAGTGCTGCGCTGTAAGTGCACAATTTTTCTATGGGGCCACAAGACGTGGGCAGGCAATAGCCTAATTCACTGCAGTGCTCAATCAATGACACACAATGAATTTGCTGGGTATGCACAGTTCTCCATCACGCAGAAGACAACCTCCATGCAGCGAGGACCTAAACCACACTTCGACCGAGGCCGGGTAGGACAGTTTTACTTTGAGATAAAGCATTTTAAACTGTGCGACTGTACCGGCACAAAAATCCAACCGACAAATGCCGTTTGATACAGAAAATGAAGCCGTAGTAAGATGCAAAACAGGCCATGCTTCACGTTGCAATTACATAGCCATATTGACAGTATCTCCTTTGAGAGGATCTCAAGGCCTCCACCATACAAGTATTTAGTGCTACAATTT